CTTCTCATGACTTCTTCAAATGAGATGGGATCATCCTCCATTTGAAATTCCTCAGTGTTGTATACTTCATAGTCAACAGGAATAGCTGATTTTCTAACTCTTTGAGACCTTCTAGGGGCCTCCACATTTGGCACATCTTCTGTTTGAGGCTGTTGTTGCTCCCCCTCATGTGTGGCAATAGGTTCTACAGGATCCTGAAGAACAGGTTCCTCATCATCAACACAGGGGGAATAACAACAGGTGCTGGCACCATAGTATCTTACACTGTCGATGCAGCGACAGCAGGTAGTGAAAAAAATGGCCCATGAATCATCGGAGTGGGCGCATACACCCGCTTCTCTTCAAGGTCAATTTCTCGAGCTACCATGCCCCCTCATCATTTCATCCTCTAGGAAGACAGCGTGTCTCGTTTCCACAAACTTTGTATGTCTGTCTGGACAGTAGAAACGAAAACCTTTTGACTTTTCTGGGTAGCCAATGAAATTGCAACTTACTGTTTTGGGATCTAGCTTACCAATGTTTGGGTTAAATACTTTAGCCTCAGCAGGACTCCCCCCCACACGTAAGTGGTTTAGTGAGGGTACTCTTCCAGTCCACAACTCATACGGTGTTTTGGGCACCGACTTACTTGGTACTCTATTGAGAATATGAATGGCGGTTTTTAACGCCTCCATCCACAGGCTCAATGGTAAGGTGGAGTAACTTATCATACTGCACACCATATCGTCTTTCAGCTACTCCATTTTGCTGAGGTTTGCCCGATGTAGAATACTGAGCTACTATGCCATTCTTCTATAAGAACATTGCAAAAGGTCCAGGAACTTAGCCATATGGGGTATGCCGACCGTAGTACTCCCCCCCACGGTCGGACCTGACTATCTTAATCTTTAAATTGTGTTGATTTTCAACTTCTGTCTTAAATATCTTAAATTTATCCAATGCTTCTGTTCTTTCTTTGATTGGATAAATATAGCCATAACGGGAGTAATCATCTGTGAATGTTATGAACGAATCATAACCATCCACACTCTTTACAGGAAACGGACCACAGATGTCTGTGTGAATAATCTATAAAATTCCTGCACTTCGTTTGACATCTTTCTTAATTTTCTTTACATACTTTCCTTTTATGCATTCTCTGCATTGTTCTAAATCCGAGAACTCTAATGGAGGAAGAATATCATTCTTAACTAGTCTTTCTATTCCCCCCCTCGAAATATGGCCTAAACGACAGTGCCATAATTTCGACGACGCATCGTGAGCTCTCTTTCGTTTTCTGTTTACATCCGCAGATGAGGATACATTCTCATTGTCGCACGCAACGTTCCCATCATCACATACAACATTCACATCATCACGTAGTGATAACAAATAAAGCTCATTTTGTAAGATAGCAAGACCAACACATGCATTATTAAATGTTATCTTACATTTGTCATTTCCAAAATGGCAATCATATCCATCATTGTCCAAGCATGAAATACTAATCAAGTTTCTCTGTAAAGAGGGAACTTAAAGTATATCTCTAAGTAAAAGTGTGAAGTCATCAGCAAGCTCTAGAGAAATATCGCCAACGGCTTCAACATCTGCTCGAACTCCATTTGCAACTTTAACGTGTCTTTCTCTTCTTTGCGTAGTCCTCGTCGAACGGAATCCCTATAAGGAATTAGCAACATGAACAGTTGCACCTGAGTCAATCCACCAAGTAGATTTCAAATACTGTACATACAGGGATTCATTTATGAACGTAATAATGTTATCACATTTCTTTGCCATGATCATCTTTAAGTAATCGGAACAATATTTCTTATAATGTCCCGTCTTCTTGTAATAGAGACACTGGTCTTTCTCTACCGTGAACTTGTTCTTTTGAGGCTGATGCATCATGGGACCCTTTTAACTTTGAGGAGGAGTTAGCATTATTATTCTTTTTCTTGTTGTCTTTCACATAATTAATAGTGCCACCATTGGCAGCTTTTATTCTCTCCTCCTCTTGCACACACATAGCCATGAGCCTCTCTAAGTCTCACTTCTTGAGTTGTATGTTGTAGTTGACAACAAAAGTGTCAAATTCATTTGGCAAGGAAGCAAAAATCAGATGGATAAGAAACTCTTCCTTGAGAGCTAGATCCATTGGTTTTAGCTTGGATGCCAAATTGCTCATCCTTAGTATGTGCTCTCTTATGCCACCATTTTCAGAGTACCTCTCTGTCACCAGCTGCTTTATCAATTGGGTAGCATATGTCTTTGAAGAGCCAGTGAACTGACTCTTTATTCTATCGAGGTACTCGATGACCGTGTCACACTCTGGGATTGAGCCCATAATTGCAGGCTCAATCATGTTCTTTATCACAGCCAAACATTTCTTGTTGGTAGTGATCCACTTCCTATGCTCAAGGTCATAGGACATCTTTTAGGATGCAAAATCCCTCTCTCTAGTTGCCCAAGCGACATCAACCTCGTTTGTCTCCCTCACCGGTGCCACAGGCTTAGTGGGACACGGTGAGGTAACTACCTAGTCCATCTCAGAAGCATTAAACTTTTCTCAACTATTCTCTGAAAAATTATTCCGTTGATTTAAATTTTAACAGAGATATTGAACTAGACAAATATCATCAAAATTGCTTCTGAAAAAATAAACTTAAACTCGTAAAAACACTGTTCATGTGGACCAAACCAGCTGAAAATAGTGAATTCTGGCCCGGTCTGTTTCTGTTCTCGCGCGCGCTATGCTTCCCAGGCCGCAACCTGGGCCTGAGCAGGCAAAGACGGCAGCCGCGCGCGCCCGCCTAGGCCGAAACTCGGTCCAGTGAATCTGATCCGTTCATCCAGATCCGACGGTCGCGCGCGCGGTTCGATCGGTATAAAAGGCGACGCCGCGGTGACTCCGGTGAAAACCCTAGCCCATTCTCTGCCGCCCTTTCTCTCTCTTCTCCTCGCTCCGTTCTCTCCTCAGCTCAGCAGCAGCCGAGCGAAAGCAAGAGCAAATATGGCGTCGTCGCCGGTCCCCTCGCTGGCGTGCGCGCTCCCCAGCGGGTGAGCACGCCGCCGTCGAGTGGTCTGGGTGGCGGTGCCCTGATCCCCTCCAAAACCCTAGATCTGACCCGACGACTTCTCCTCCTTCTCTGTCTCAGTTCCACGACGGCACGGAGTGAGACGATGATGGCGCCGTCGCCGGCCCTCTCGTCGGCGCGCGCGCTCCCCAGCGGGTGAGCGCGCCGTCGTCGAGCGGCCTAGCCGCGGCGCCCTTGGCCCGAGCACCCGCCCGCGTGTAGGTAGGCCTCTTCCCCTTCCCCTTTTCTTCTCTGATTTGATTTTCCTTTCTTTTCTTCTCGGATCTATCCGATTTAGGGTTGGGGATGGGGTTAGGATCAAAATTAGGGTTTGGTTAGGGTTAGGGTTTCGTTCACTGTTCTTCTTCCCCGAGTTTGATTCGCGGGTTAGGGTTCGACGACCCTCTTCTCTTCTCACATCTGAACGGATCTAATCTATTTCTTACCCCTGACATGACCTACATCTAGACAAAGGGTTCCGATAGGCTATATCTATATCCAGTGAAGCTCGGATACAATTGTTGAGATCGAAAAGATCATCTAGGGTTAGGTCTAGCGGGTTCTCTTTACTGTGAATGCGATATCGAGAGTAGAGAGACAGAGAGGAATAGAAGAAGAACGTGTCGAACCTGACACCGCAGAGGGAGATGGTCCAGAAGCCGTCATCTCGTTCGTCGGTGAAGTCTGCGCACGGGCAGCGATGTTCGGGGAAGAGGTCAATGAAGTCGTCGATGTCGGTAGAGCGGGGCAGCGCGGCTGGTGGCTTTCCATCACTGGCTGCGCCCCTCTCTGATCGGGATTAGGGTTTAGGTTTCGGTGGGGAGCTCGGCTCACGGTAAATCTCGTACTCAGAGCCGCCGGCCCCCATCTCTATATATAGCGCAGTGTGACAGGGCCCTCCAGCCATAGTGGGCTGGGCGCCCCTGATGAGGACGCGAATCAAAGGCCCAACTGGGCCGTTGGACCCAGTTTAGGATTAGAGATCAATCTAACATACACATCACATTCTCGAGGAAAAAAATAGGAGCGTGCCTCCTTGTCTTACTTGTCCATGAATTTCATCTTTGCAGAACGACCGCTTCTCTCTCCATCACGCGATCTTGAAAGAAAAATTAACTTGTATTGTATTTAAATATGCTTCTGTAATATTGTAAATTCCTAAGACGCACGTGTGGCAGGGGGTGTCGTTCATCATTCAACGAGAATGATTCGTGGGAAAGCTGGTTAAATTTCCGTGGCTGCTTACTCGCCGATTGAACGCTTCCATCAGACGTTGACATATGTTTTCTGAAAATGCTTGCTTCCTGAAAACGTCTATCCAATTCAACGCAAAAGGTATAAACAATGAGAAACTCGTACCCTTCAATGGCCAGTGTTCTAACAAGGTTCACACGACGAGAGCTGCTTCTTGCCGGTTGCACATTTTGCCACCCCTCTTCGTGTAAGGACTGCAAGTTTGCAACCTGAGGGAAGCAGCACCTGAGAAGAATGATTAAAACGTTTCATTTTGGCTAAATAATGCTACAGCCTGAGAAACCAGAACCTCAGTCTTGTCTGGCCGCTGAGTTGGAGTTGAGTCGAGAATGTGAGATGCATCGTACTCTACCGACTACACACCGTACCATTTTCGGCCAGCATATTCAGGCCTGCATCACATCGTTTTTACTTGTCGGTCGGCGCAAGCAAGGAGCTATAGGAACGAGACCTGGCTGGCATTGGAATTCTCAGGTACGTACAAAGTTTCACTGTGCTGCCGCGGAGTTGCGGACGGGCTCCGCAGCTCGCACGCAGACGCCCGCTGGTTCGGCAGCTAGCAGCCTCCCTCTCTGACCCAGCGAGCGTGTATATATGCAACCCGGCCACGTACGTGCACGCTCATCATCTAGTTTCGCACGAACAGCATCTTGTTTCTTCAAGCAGCAAACCTAAAGACCGCCTTCTCCTCGGATGGGCAACTGCGTGTGCCAGCAGGCATCCCGGCACGCCGCGACGGCGGCGAGCCGGTGTGGGCAGAGCGGGGGGAGGACTGGCGAGGAGAGGAAGACGAGCGTCAAGGTGACGGTCAGGATCAGCAAGAGCCGGCTGCAGAAGCTGATGGCGAGTGGGGCCGGCGGCGGCGAAGGGATGACGCTGGGGAAGGTGCTGGCGGAGATCGTGAGCGCCGGCGAGGTGGTGGTTGACGGCCACCACCGACGACGGGGCTGGGAGCCCGCGCTAGAGAGCATCCCGGAGGCCATGGAATCGTGACAGTACATATATAGATATAGGCATATAGGGGATGAAACAACGAAGGTATACATATATTGTACGTGATGCTCTTTAACCATGTACCGTATATTCTTTTATTTTGTTTTATTTTACATGTATATCAGCACACATTGTATAAGCTGCCAGAGAGTGAGAGAGAGGAAATAATGATGTTCAACGTAGCATTATTATCACTCCAGGCGAAACGCGGCTTCAGAACCGATGATATGTGTCTTTTATTTCTGTAGCATAATATATAACATCTCAATTTCTGTGGCATAATAACATTGTATACCGCGCCTACAAGTACAAGTTTAATTTCTGTGGCATAATAACATCTCAATTTGGTTTCCGGCTTTGGTGACTGGCTGACGGCTTAGCTACAGTGAGACGTTCTTGTTTATATACAGCAAAGAACTGATGATTTGTCCAAATGTCTTTTCATGACAATCGAAGCCGACAACATATGTTCAGTATAGAGAGGAAACACGGGGAAATATTAAATCGAAACACCCCATTAGGCCTTAGCGAAACCGTGAAAACACTCTAAAAACGTACTTAAATGAGATGCAATTAGCATGGATGTTTAAACACTCTAAAAACATAGGGATAGGAGAGTTGCCTAAATTTTAGCTTCTTTTTAGGTGACATTTATTGCATATATGTTAGGTTAAACTTGTAGCTTTTTTTTTTGTTGCAACTTTGTAACTATAATCTATAATTTTTGGATCCGAGAATAAAAAAACATGTTAGACAAAACTACAAACCCGATAAAATCTAATCTGTATTGGCACAAAGACAGATACCAATTTATAAATGTTTCTATAATCAAACAACAACAAAAATTTGATATATTATAGCACAAAGACAATTAACAAATCACAAAAGGACAATAGTCTACGTGCGGCTATATATGCTAACCCGCCCAGATTCACACGGCTAGCACGTCTCTTGACGTAAGCCTAATTTCAGGCACCTGTAATTTAGGGGAAATGAAAACATATGTCTTAACACGTTTTGAAAACTTCTCACAATAAAAGCATGAGATGTAGTTAACATAGATGCATTTACAATTAAATGTGTGATGCATTATTGTCGAAAGTTTTTAAAACACATTTAGATCTATTTGGATTTTTTTCATTTTCTAAATCTAAATATATTTGAAAGCTTATAGATGTATGCTTTAAAAAACTTTAATAGATATTTGCTGTATCTTTTAACTATAGAAAATCTGAATCCGTCTTGAAATTCACTTTTAACCTGGGTAGAGAAACAATTTAAACAGTTTTGGATGTAACTTGTAAGATGTCTAGTTTTAAGGTTACGCGATTAAAATTAGACCACGGGGAGGTAAAACCGTAAAATGGACCTTTTCTACTCCGTTTTAACAGGCTGGCGTGGGCTCAGCCCAATCACAGGTTCTGGCGTCCCCTGCGCAGCTGCGCTCGTTTCCCTTCATCAAGCAGGCCTTGTGTGCACAGCCCAAGGGCTGACCTTTGACGCCGCTCCGAGCGTGGGCCGTGGGGACTGGGAATCAGCCCCATTTCAATGTTTTCTTTTTCTTCCGAAAAACGAAAACCGCAGTGGCGCAGTGCTATACGGTTCCTCACTGAATTTTTCCCCCTACCGCTATGGCTCCTGGTGTCCGCGTGTCGCGATATGATTGGAAGTCCGCACCATGCCAGGTACGGACGGTCCATACCTAATTTTTTTCCGCCGCGGAGGGTGACCTCGGCTCGCTTGTTGCCTTGTTGGCCGCGTGATACGGCACGAATGCTGTGGCCCCATGCTCGCCGTTCGGTTGTGGAAGAGCTCCGCCTTGCTATTCCAGCGCCGCGCCGTTGCTGGGGACGCGCTGGTCGCCGGGTATGGCTGCGGCTTGGCGCTTACCGGTATCTATCTTCCTTCTTTGTTGCTACTGACTAGGACTCTAGGAGTGCTCAGATTTTGACATGCTGTAGGGCCAATGCTGCTAGGCATTTCCTGTTTGGGGTGTATTTAAACTGATTCGATTAGTATCGAGCCGTCGTTAGCTGTGATTTCATCTTACTCCGTTACTGTACTTGGTGTGCGATTTTTTATGGATCCAGTTTAGTTTTTTAGTATTTCTTTTGAAATTTAGTAACTTAATTTGCTTGGTTCCTAAAATGTTTGCTTGTTAGCTCACCATGTTATGTAATTTTAGGTCTGGGTCAGCAACTTGGAGTCGATATTATATAAACGGGAATCAAGCTCTCTAAGACATGTAATCTTGCTGATTCATATATTGACCCAATGGGATGTTTCTGCTTGCTGGACATTTGGAATTGTCTAGTTCCACTGATTTGTGACAAGGTCTTGTTAATGACCTTCTCACTGTATTTTCTGGAGTTGAATCAGCAACCTTTTTGGTGAAGGTTCTCACTGGCATTTTTTATGTTCAACAAAGTTCCCTTAAAACAGGACATTCAACAAATTTCTTGAATCGAGCCGAGATGATGTTGTTAATTATTCTTGATGGATATCATGGCTATGTGGTTATCACTGAAAAACACCCGATCGGGATTTTAGCAAACCCATTTCAGCTACAAACTTCATTGGCAAGAAAGGTGATCACTATTCTTTCAACTTTGAAGTAGTCACTGCAGCGATAGTATTGCTTACAAGTTTTTGAGTTTCCTTTCTTTTCACTTACAGGCTTTTAGGCATACAAAACTTCATTCGTTTGACTCCTCTGCTTTTGAAGTTCGTTTTTATTTCTCTCACTGAGGACTTCAGCTAACTATAACATTATGATGGACTTGCCTCTCCTTGCTACACACCCTGTAAGGTTTCGAGTAATCCTAATATATTGTTTAGATTGTAATAAGCAAGCAATTTACTTAAAATGTGTCTTTTGCACTTGACAAGGAGTTAGTCACACTCAAACTAACGAGATTTCGTAGCAAATAATTAACACTAATGTTTAGCTTAGCCTGTTGATGGTAGCAGTTGTGCAACAGTTACAGTATTGTTGTGCCATGCTTATCCTATGTTAATGAGAGGAGTAATATATGTTCCAACTCATGTCACAGGTTCTCCGCGATTTTGATTCTGATCAAGTAAAAAGAGCTATATGACTCATGCCTTGTAGATATAAATAGCACTCAGGATTCCTTAAGCATTTTTTTTATTAATTTGGGAAGGCTAAAATTTACAGCTACTATTGCTTCAGATCCATTATTAGGTATAGAAGTGTGGCATTACAAGGACTATTTCATTGGAAACGAAAATTTTATCATTAGCAAAATGCACGATTCAGCATAAATGTGAATGTTATGGTTTGTTTACTGATTCTTACAATATTTCATCAAACGCAACCTTTTGATGCGAAAATCGTAAATTCTATCTATGGTTATCTCCGTACAACTGAAAGGAAATGTTGTAGCCATTAAATGCGTATAGCCATGAACTACCATGAAGCATAGGCTCATCAACTCTAGCACCAGGATATCTCTTCTGATGGTGAAAAATTGATTATGCCTAACCAAATCACATACGCTAGTTTCATTCAAGAAAATGAGCTGCTGATACATCCTGCCTATATATGACACACATCAGTTTCAAGAATGTTGAAAAAATGATTACACCTAACCAAACCACGTGCACCTGTTTCATTCAAGAAGATAATCTGTTGTTACATCCTACCTATATGTGACATTAAAACAAAAAATGTACCGTGTAGATACTCCCTCCATTCGGTTCCTCTCTACACAACTCTGGCTTGATTTATCATTTCTTAATTCTCGAAGCCATTTCAGCTATCTTCTTCATTTTCTCTCTCATGGCTATCTTCTTCATTTTCTCTCTCTTGGCTATCTTCTTCATTTTTTCTCTCATGGCTATCTTCTTCATTTTTTCTCTCATGGCTTTCTTCTTCATTTTGCTGTAATTGTTCTTTACCTCCTTCAGTTTCGTTTTGGTTAGTTTCTGTGCCTATGTTTGGAACTGTTATGGGCAGAGGATCTTTGATGTCATCTGGAGGATCATAGTTTGGATCAGCAAGAAATGTAAGGGCGGTCACAACATCACTGATCAGTGGCCGACTGCTTGCTTCTTCTTGTAAGCACATTGATGAGATTGCAAGTGCCTGGTATAGACCTTTCAGAGGAAACTTCCTGTCAAGCAATGGGTCGGCCATCTTCACAAACTTCCTCTTATCCCTGAAGAATGGTGCTGCCTGCAGATAAACTACACTTAGTAGAGCAGCATTGCAATTCTAACTGTATGGATTTCTGATTTTTTTTTAATTGATTACAGTCTGAATATGTTTCCTAATAAAGAGGTTTCAACACTGGATATTTCTTGGTGACAAGTGAAGCTAGGTGTAAAGCTCACCCAATGAACAAGAATCTGCTCGCGAGTTGGTTTTGTGGTGTCGATTGCTCGCCTCCCAGTGATGAGCTCTAAGAGAACTACGCCAAAGCTATAGATGTCAGATGTCTTTGTTAGCTTGCCGGTCATGGCATACTCAGGAGCACAATAGCCATATGTGCCCATCACCCTTGTGCTGACATGGCTTTTGTCACCGCTTGGACCAAGCTTCGCCAGACCAAAGTCCGATAACTTTGCATTGAAGCTTCCATCCAAGAGAATGTTGGATGCCTTGAGATCACGGTAGATCACTGGCGGGTTGGCTACCTCATGCAAGTACTCAATGCCTCTAGCTGCACCAACTGCAATCTTCATCCGTGTGTGCCAGGATAGTGGCTGAGAATTTGGAGTGAGATCTATACAATTCAATGAACAAACAGGTACAAATTACAATTCATGAACATGCATTTATATTATATAAAAATATATGATTGAGAGTTTGTATTACCGAGGAGATGATCTTGCAATGAACCGAGTGGCATGTACTCATATACTAGGATCCTCTGGTCACAATCGGTGCTGTACCCAACCAAGGTAACTAGGTTTGGATGATGCAGTAGGCTAAGCATCAGTACCTCGACGAGGAACTCACGGTTTCCTTGCAACCCTTCTTTGTCAAGCTGCTTAACTGCTATGACCTAGACATGGGCATATTTAACATAATCAAGTTATGTTATATTAGCAAGTGTTTCTTCATGTCTTAGTTTAATGGAACGTAGAACGGTGAATTTGGAGAAGAAATGCTTATTTACTTCCATAGTGTCTGGAATGCATCCTTTGTACACCCTTCCAAAGCCGCCTTCACCCAGCAAGTTTTCTGGGCAGAAAGAGTTGGTGGCATCGACCAGTTCACGGAATGTAAACACCCTACTAGGAATGTTATGATTGCCGATCCGTAGTATCTCCCCTGCTGCTGCCCTGTGCTTGGGACTGTCTGCATTTAAAAAAGTTGCTGAGAGTCTGAAATACATCTTTTGTCATGGAATATAGCATTGCTGATCTGTTTTCATCATACTAATCACAAATTTTTAGCCTGGGAATAACGAATTTCAGGGTCAAATTAAGTTCAAGAATAAGGCAATGGGCAAACAGACTTTCATGGACATGCTAATTGGTATTTATATATTTTTCTGAACAATTTTTCCAATCTTTTTAGCAATGGTTGAGACATGCATGATGGGACTTTTGTTGTACGATATTTGTAACTTCTCAAAAAATTCCAATCCAATGCTTAAATGCTATTATCATGTATTAATTTTTTTCTTCTGCAACTTTTATGTTTCAATAATTGGTGGGAAATACTGATTTGTCTTTTGTAACTTTGCTGTTTTCAAGAAATGGTGGAAAATACTATAGTTATCAGCTTATTATCATCTTATACCTTTTATATATGTGCATGCAGAGCAAAAAATTCCAGGAGAATAAAGGCTGGATTCTTACTTGAGAGCGAAATTCCCTTGACAAGGGTTGCCAAACCGTTCTGTTCATCCTTCCTCTTCTTTTTCCTCCATATCTTCTTTGTCCACTTGCATTTCTCTGGCTCAGGGATCATCGCCGTACTCTTCCTCTTCTTTTTTGCCTCCGATGTCAACGGTTCCTCTGCTTCTCGTACCGCCCTACCACAAAATCCACGGACCCACTTCCTCTTCTTTTTACTCTTCGTGTCCGATTCCTCTTGCGTGGCCTTGCTCGTTCTCCTGCCGCAGACAGAGCGGATCCACGAGCAGCAGCACGCACATCTGAGTAGGTTGCAGCTCAGGATGTTCTTGCAACAACATCTGTTAGCGGAGCTCAACAGCCCCATGGAATTGCCGGATCGACGCGAGAGTGGGCGAGCACCCTTGTGCCGATCCCTGCATGCAAACGAAGAACAGCAAGAGGCCTCAACGGTAATATTCCCTTTCTCTCTTTAATTTTTCTTGCACTTGGTTTCTTGCCACGCGCCTTTCTCTGTGGATGGTAAAAATTTGGGAATGTGGCAGCTTCTCTTTTTCCTTGGACGAACGTTCTCTGGCCAAGAAGCTATTTTTAGTCCACTTGTTTTTGCTCTTATTAATCGCTGTTGGTTTAGTAATTGTCTTACCACACCCTGATCTTTCGCATGAGAAATAGGAGTCTGTTTTCACCCATTGGCTAGAAATGTGCTCAGTTGCTTAGGGTTATAATCATGCATGGTGCATATGGGTGTTATGCTTCACTTAGGAAGAAGCGTTGGGTGAAACCATTGTCAACTATGGTTGGATAGAAAATTAGTTCAGAGTACGCAACATGTAGATATTGCTATTGTGTGTGACAACATTTCATGGTACATTATTTCTAGAAATTTTGTTGCATGTAAAATGTCGCATATCACTTCTATTATCAGACCAGCATGCATGCGGCATGCCCATGCACTCTAGTACTACTACTCTACGTCTCTACTCAATTTCTAGTTGATTGCGCCTAGTAGTGACCGGGGCCCGGCGGTGAAGATGCTGAAGGCCTGGGGTTTGATCCAGCACATCGCTGGCAGCTTGTGCACAACTGCACATATGTGCTGCCGCGCCTTGATCGCTCGTGTGATGTCTGCTACTTGGTGCTGGCAAGAGGCGGAAAGCCGATGCACCCCTTCCGTGGCTTATGCTGCCTACTATAGGGGTCGCTACTCTGCTGTCACTCTGGGGTCTGGCTGTGGCACCCTCTTGCCAGCTGCTGCCCTGTCTCTCCATGGTACCCCCTCTCTGCCGTTGACACTTGACACTCTCTGCCACAGTATTCGCCTTGACACTCTGCTCACTTCGCCATTTCTGTGGGGTACTGATATGCTGATAAGGCTCAGTTCTGTTTGTAGGCGGCAATACCAGGTTGGGGCGGTCTTGTGTCCTTTTGTTAGGATCCGGTGAAGGTTTGAAGTTTGAACCACGGTTAGAAGAAACGTGAGGACGAACAAGACGGCTAGTGAAAGTACAAAATGTGAAGTGTTTGGGGGTGTCAAAAGGTGCCTGTTTGGAACATCCTTAAACAGCTGTTTCGGAAGTTTTCATAGAGCTATATATATACAAGGCGCACGTGCATTTTTTCTAAGAGGTTTGAGTGTGGAAAAAACCTTCTAAGCACAGGGATTTTAGCTTGGTGTGTGGCACAATCTCGTGTGCTGACACTCTGGGCCTTGTTTGTATGTTATCGTATTCACCTCAATTCATATGTGTTGGGGTAGAATTTAGTTCAAGTTCCACTTCAATCCACTTCAACAAATATGGATTGATGCAAATCCGAATATATCCAAACAAGAAAAAAATTAACACTTCTGAGAAAAAAGAAAGAGAGAAAAGATACCTTGACATTTTTGTCCCATTCTGACTGGGATTTCGGAACTATGCATGCAAATGCAACAGGCTATACTAAAACAACGCTTTGTCTAATAATCTAACTATTATTATTTAGATAAATAATCTTATCTAGATCTTTTGAGTGGACATGAATATAATAATATTTATATATCTTTCTTCATAAGTGATTCCTGATTAACCTAAGCAAGAGTGATCAATCGATGGTAGCTTTTTAAGACAGGGTCTAAGGACTAAGGCCTTACTGATAAAATTAGATGTGCAGATTTTGAAACTTGTTTTCATTTCCTAGTTATTTATGATGCAGTATTAGTAGGGCTGCAGAATCCCTTTGAGACTAGCAAATTATCAAACTTATCGAAGAAATGTTGTAGAATGGCATAGTTTTTTTTTATCTTGATAATCATTTACTTGGTGAGTCAATACAGCTTGGTGAAGAATTGAGGAATAGTCGATGCCAGGTACAAAATGAATATTAGAATTCCATGACGAATAAAAATATCAGCTTGCTTAATTGCATGCCCTGGACTTATTGATACTTTTTCACTCTTAATAATTTGTATAAATACATCTCAGTAGTCCAGTTTGATTCATCCAACTTATGCAGAATTTCTTTTGATTTACTCGGTGCAGGCTACATATCAATTTAACTGGAACAAACAGTATGATTCCCATGGGACTCATTTGAATTATTTCTGAACCCTTTTTATTACACGAACCGTGCCAGTACTATCTGGCAACATCCCCTTATTTATTCCTCAGAGTTACATTCAGGTTCAGGATTTGGACGCGCACATGCGTCTTGCACGTCGCGCCGACTCACTCACCCTAGTAGTACTGGTCGCCGCCGGAGAAGACGTTGCACTCCTGGGGCTCCGACAGCCGGCACATCATCGGCATCCCCGCGGCGTACTGCCCGCGGGCCTTTGTAAGCCTCACGCGGGCGATTTTTCTCCCGGTGCCGGGACGACACGGTGGATACATCGGCTGCTGGCCACTCTCACCGTAACCGTATCCCTCTCCTGCCTCGCTGCAGGGGTAGTAGCCCGGCTGCGGCTGCTGCCCCCCCACCCTTTCTCCAGCGGCGGCATGGTCTCCTCGTAGCCCCTGACCATGCTTCGGATGGCGGCGCAGCGGCACTCGCGGCTCACGTCCTTGAGCTGCTGGCAGCACCGCATCCGGAGCCCGGTGCCCCACCGGAACGGGCCGACTCCGTAGCGCATGCCGCCGGTGAGCTGCCGGTCCAGGACCTGCCGGCACGCGTCGAGCGGGCTCTCCTGGACCTCTTGCCAGCACTGCAGGTCCTTGAGCCTCTGCCGCTCGACCTCGCCTTGGCCGACGGCCACGGCCACCAGGGCCGCGAGGCACAGCGCCGCGGCGGCGGCGGCGGCGGCGGCAGCGATCTTAGCCATTTCAGCACGGTTCACTGAAAAATCTTTGTCGCTAGTTGCTTGATCTGCTAGCTAATTATTGTGTTCTTAGGTGATGATCGATGAGGTATTAGTGAGGGGGGTTGGGTTTTTATAGGAGAAAGGCAGTTGAGGTGGAAAAACACACACTGTTAGTTGAAAAGGTCGATGCTTGCGGGGAGGGAAATTTGGCGATGATTTGGAGCTTTATAAAACAGATTTTTGGAAAGTTTTTGTAAAGTCACTGTTTGTGTGGGTAAGGGTAACACTTCACGTTAAGCTCCTCGCATGCATGGATGCATCTGTGATGACAAAGTGTGCTAGTGTGCTTGTGTTTGTGTGGTTCATGGACGTATCTACGACTACATGGCTGGTGTTTACTGATAAGCATGGCTTCGATCTACTACGTGCTGACGGACGCATGCATGGATGTGCGTGATCCTTTTTTGTGTGTGCTTTTTTGGGGATTGTTTGGAACATGGAGAGGTTGATGTCATGCAAAGAGTAAGTATACAGGAAAGTGTGAGCAAAGGCACTTTATTTTGTCACTTTTCCTATCGGAAATAATTCTTGGGCCTGACGCTTGCTTGCTGGACCTGCGAACCAGCCGAAACAACCTGCTTGTGGCAAATGTCACATGTGTTCCTATCTCACTCAGAGTCAGAGGCCTCCCGTGCGGTCTCGCCTCTGGCAACGATGCCCGCCGCCGTGTGCTCGCGTCCACCCAACTCCTACTCGCCCTCGCCCTGCTTCCTTCTCCCTGCACCGCACTATCCGCCGCCCTGACCGTTCCACCAAGCCGGCGAGTGTAGCACCCGGTTTTAAGAACAAAATCACATACACATCGCATGTGAGTCCAGAAAGTCAAATCTCACGTATATCTATAAATAAGGGTAATATTAAAAGACAATGTCCAATATATAATGTACTTAGTATAAATGATATAACCTTAGACAGCAAACAGCGGAAAGACAACTCTGATCTGCGGGTGAACATTCCAATTCCACAGGAACAACTGACTGGTTGATCACAAGCCTAACTCCTTCAAACTCTAGCAATCTGGTACCCATCAGGGATTTTTTCCAAATATGTGAAAAATAAAGCAAGCGTAAGTACATGTCGTACTCAACAAATATAACCTGGGGTTCATAAGGCTCAAAAGGCTGACACTGTCTAACTGCGATTAGCTTTTAATGAGTCATGATTTTAGCAATAGGATGGCAACAAGTTTCTCCACAAGCCCACATAAACACATGATCAGGTAAACATGAATAATGAATAGCATAAACAATAATTATTAATGAGCATCTTTATCATCAGTATCATCCGTGTTCATCATCATTAACCATTAGTGACCATCTATTCTGTAAATGTTCCAAGGCCACTCGTGACCGTGAGCACGGCTGATATACTAGTTTTACACTTTACAGAGGTTGTACACTTTCACTGTGAGTCGTGATTTACCCTTTCGCCTAAGGTAGCTAATCTCTTGACCCACTTCCAAGGAAGGTCGGCAGGGTCTACTATGAAGCCTTTCAGAGGTTCGTCTAACAAGTTAGGGTCATTAGATTCACTCGGAAAACAGATATAGGAACCCTACTTCCCGATGACACAATGACACGCAACCTATACATAAGGGGACAGAGGCCGTGCTATACCCGATTCGGCAAGCCATTCTTACACCAATAAAGATAACCTCTAACAAGCTCGAAAATGTCATCATACTGAACCAAAGCCAGAGTCATGTAGCCATCACAGCTGTACTGTAAGTCTCGGATGATCACTTACATATAAGTCTTTAGGGAGAGAAATCTAGAGCACCATAAAAACGGCCCAATGCTCTAGCCCCCTTATTATATGTTGCTAAAAAGCATTTTTTAGTGTTTATTGCATATACCATTAGTCAAGTTACAAGATCATGGTCTTTAATTGAGCACTAGCATCATACTACCCAATGCATATCCCATAGGAGACAAGGTATAAGTTCAATTCTAGAAAATCCCTATCAAGGTGACACATGCAATATGAATTAAATGTATTAAAGTTGATAGGAAACAAGGATGATCCCATGCTATACTTGCCTTAAACTTAGATCATTCTTCTAGTCCAAGCCTTCAATGGAACTCCTTCTTGATCAACACATAAAGCTCACTGACTGGACATGATCATAAAGCACCACACAAGCATCCATGCAATCATACATGAAGCAAACAATAGAATTAAATTATAATAGCACACCAAATATAAAATCAAGATGAAAAGTTTGTAAAACGAATCTACGTCTCGCTACGAACACACAGACGCGAAAATCACGCTAATCGGAGCTACAGTGAAAAAGATACAACTACCGAAAGATTTGTTTTAAAAAGAAAACTATAGGCTTTATTAATTTTAACTATACAAAAGGATGCATAAGATATTTTAGAGAAATACCTAAGTTGAATTAAGTCAAACTTATATTTGGTTTTAAAAATTGAAGTGGAATTTATCATATTTTATTTATAAATCCAATGACATAATTATTAATCAAGTTAGGATTTAAGCCATGAAAATTCTAGAGCTGGTAACAAGATTAACATTGTTACTAATGTGTAGTTTATGTCCTTACGAATCCAACGCAACTTGAACAGGTCAAATCAGAGTTAAAACGAAGAAACTACACATACAATAAGATCAATGGCAATTCTGTAAATATTTTGAAATCAATTTCATATTAAAAATAATTAAAAACCGAATTAAAACAATCATGTGGACCGGGGCTCATTTTTGGAAAACTAGAGGGGTCAAAACATAAGATCCAGGGGCTTGGATTGAATTATTTCTGAAATGCAGTGGACGGCGGGTTAATTACGCGAAACTACAGGGACTCTTTAGCAAAAGAATAGGCTGAAACGGTATGGTGTGATATCGGCCGTTGGATCCAAGATCGACGACGCAGATTAGATCGGGAGGGGGATGAGGCTGCTGGCCAGCCAAAACAAGACCTAGCACGGCGGAACGCCATTGCCGGCGGCGAGGAGCTCGTCGGCGTTCTCAAATTCAGCCTTGGAGGCCACCATTTGGCTCGGAATTCGCACGGGAAGAGAGAGCAGATGAGAGCGAACTTACCCAAGGTGGATTTCAGCGGCACAGAGCAGACGAAGATGGCACGCAGCTCGGCGTCTTGTGCTCGGCGGTGGCGGCTAGGGCTACGCGGTGAGGCGACTGCGAGCTAGGGTGGGATGGGGCGGCGGGTGCTCGAATGGATGCGGGCGGCACGGCGCTCCTATTTAAGGGGCCGGGAAGCTTGGAGAGCACGGCACGAACAAGGAGGCTCGGAGGCGGATCTACGGCGCGGCGGCGGTAGAGTCCACCCGGCGACGTCGCGAGGAAGACGGTGAGGGAAGAGACAACGCTGGCGGCTGGACCCGGGCTGTCAGCGACTACGCGTGGAGGCGGGGCACGTCCGAGCATGGGCTAGCTGGGCCGCTTGCTGCTAGGCTACGAGGAAAGGAACCTGGGCCGCGGGGTGCTGGCGTTGCTGGGCCGGGCGGAATTGGAGAGCGGAGCTAGGCCAAATGCCGGGCAGAGAGAGGGAAAAATAAAGAATTCCTTTTCTATTTTCCTTTTTCAATCCAAATTCAAATAAGATCCAATTCAAATTCAAATACTGTTTCAAATATACTTTAAATTCAAAATAGGATAAGAACTTTTGGTAGGTTTTCAAAAATAAACTTTGCAACTTTTAAAACTCTTTTATTTTCTAATTCTCTTTTATCTTTCTTTTCTTTTACTTCAAAACCATTTTCAAATTTATTTTCAAAAGCAATTCAAACCATTTTGAATTTTAATTCAAACCACTCAACCAAATAAATCAAATGCACCGACATGTATGCACAACCATATTGCTACTCCTTAGATGAATTTTAAGATAATGAAAAAAAATCTTTTTCTTATATTTCATGAGCACAAAAATTTAGAATTAAATCAATTTAACTACATTTCCAAAGTAGCAAATTTTAGGGTGTTACAATTCTACCCCCCTTAAGATGAATCTCGTCCCCGAGATTCAGACGATGGTGATCAAAGAGATATGAATACTCTGCCTGTAGATCTTCTTCACTTTCTTGAGTAGTTCCATCTTCTTTGTAAGGATTCCACCCTACTTTGCATACCTGTTAATCTTACTCCAAGTAACTTGTCAAACTGATTCCAAGATTCTGACAAATACTCTAAACCATACCCTGGTAACTCCAATCACTAGACCACCTTTCCTTTTTAGTCCATACTATCAATTCTCTTTCTTAAAATATTCACCTTCCAACGGAGCCTGACGAATCTCTTGGTCAGAAGGAGATTCTACTACCAATCTTCAAAACATTAAGGATTCTGGTTAAGTTGCTCGAACTTGGAATACAATTCTTAGTCCTTGGTGTCACTCGAACCTTCTTAGCATAATTCTCTGTTGCTAAGGGCATCGGCCATGACTTTGCTCCTCGAAGTGATAGCACTTTTCCAAATCATACTCCATTTTGTTCCAACGAGGATATCACAAGCTCAAGACCAACTTAGTGAAGATGTCCTGTAGATTCTTGTGATCCTCCTAGATGTCACTTTTGCGCCCAGAAGATAGCACTTCCATGCTCCACAATGGATAACTCCACATAGTATGTTGGGTAATCCAACTCGCGCTTCCTTAGGTGACTTAATAAACATGGTACTACTTTTTCTTCTTGCATAAGGACACCTCCCACACCTTTGACAGGGTGCATCATAATGGATATAAAGCTCTTGTCTTGATCTGACTAAGCTAATACTTAGGTTTTACTTCAACCTCTCTTTTTTACTCCTTCAAGAACTTAGCCGAGGTCTCTTGATCCAAACTTAAACCTTCTCCCGTAACACTATCAATATCTTGATGGTCTTGGATAAACTTCCCTTGAACCTCTAACCAAATCTCATTATTAAAGACTCTGAGTTTCTCTCACATCTTTGTGTGGGTTCCTATCACATCATTAACTTTC